GCACCAATGCCACAAGTATTCCTGGGCACAATGACGTCTCTAAAAAGAGAGCTTATACGGAGAGCCACCTCGAGGATGAACCTGGTCGAAAGAAGCATAAAATTGAGATTGCCGAAGACCAGGTGTCCGGATGGATTACGGCGTTACAACGACTTGTCAAAGGGAAAACGAAGATTGACCACAAGGTACGGAATGAGTCTCCGACATCTGCATTCTGTTGTTCACACACACCAGGGCATGGAGGATTTGAGCATAGTATTGGCTGAGATAGAGTCTGTGTACCCGCACCTGGATTCAGAACTTGCACCGGTTAGTCAGTTTTAATGATTCGTCGGCAATATTCTCAGCCGGTCTGCCCTTGTTTAGGTCGCTTGTCTTCAAGACGTCTTGCAGCAGCTAGCACAGTTAGAGGATATTCCATTCAGAGACGAGCATGACCTCCGCCGTCGTACAGATGACATTATCGCAGAGTGGCCAAGTGTCAAAGCCTAAATGACATATTGATGAGGGATGGTTTTTGGTGCGTTGCCTACATTACCTGGGGGCAAATTTTTTATATCCAAGTATGAAACACCTACGACTTTTGGCGGCGTTTATCAAATTCGTTAGTAGTTATCAATTAGGTCTTACAGTTGATTGGGATACCGAGCTCGCGCTCGTTTATCCGGACCATATTGGGGTAATAATACAGAAATGTATCGTAAACCAAATTGGAATGTACACACATTTCAATGGCTACTGGCTTCTTCAATCTGCCGTCTCCAGCGCTTCTGGATATCAATCATCTCTAAGAATATATTGTATTTGGCATCAAGTATTTTGTTGACTGCCGACGACGCCCCGGGGGCCACGAGGGTACCAGCAGGTGTCATTTCGACCTGAATGGCAAAAATCAACATCTACACTCAGCAGAATGCACAGGACATCTTACCATGATCTTCCACATGTCTTCTCCATCTTTAGCACCCTCCGCTGCAATCCTTCCCAGCATCGCTGCACCAAGAACCACCGCCTCGGAATACGACTTGGGTAAGATGACGGGGATGCCACATGTGTCTGCAAAGAGCTGCATGATCACCACATTCTTTACTTGCCCACCAGAAAGATACAAAGAGGTAATGTCGTGCCCTGCCGCGTTGAGAGCTTCAATGATATGGCGTGTTTGAAGGGCGATAGCTTCCAGGGTAAGGTAGTACTTGCGAGCGAGGTCGGCTATAGATGCGTCCTGAAGTAATCAAGATGAATTGGTCGAAGTTTTTAATCGAAGTAGTAACTTACCAGCTCAAGACCGACAATGGAACCTCTCATTCGAGAGTCAGCAATTGGAGACCTGTTTCCTGCGATAGCTGTGAACAAGGATACTAATATCGAGCTGTAGCTTATCTCACCATGGAAATCAGGATAGAAATGCAGATCCTTCGTAAGCTCCGTGTAGGTATCAACATTACTCTCGTGCCGCAACTTTTCGAGGACGTCTAGCAAGACTATAGACGCTCGTCAAAACACTGTTTTGGTTGGCCCAGCATAATAAGCTACACGAACCAATATGCATACACTTTCCCTCTTGCTTTGCACGTTCTTTGAGTTCGGGATACGCGGTGTGAGTAGTGATGATAAAGTCAATAAGCTGTCCCGTAGACGACTGGCCCCCCTCATTCATCCACCAACCAGGGAAAGCTGTATCCTATGAGAATATACCATTAAGACACCGCATGTTATGCAGAATGGTGATGGTATACCCTATATGGGCCCCATACACCCTTCACAAAGACGCTGTCCCGACTCTGCAACAATGTTGACGTCTGGATGAAGATGGATTGAGCAAGATGACTTACCTGAACAATATGGCCAGTACTTGTTCCGGCAACAATGGCCAAACGGTGCCGAGACTCGTCGAGAGAAGGAAGCACATTTGAAAGTTGACCATTCTCCATGTATCGAGCGGCAACTGTGCCCATCCAACCAGCATACCTAGCACGACGCCAATAGCATCCACATTTCAATAGACATATTGATGGAATATGACATACCCATCAATCAGACCACTTCCAACAGCAGTACCTTCCGCAAGTCCAAGTTCTTCAGCTGCCTTTTTAGATAATCCTCGACCAACTGGGCTTCCAGCAGTCTGCACTTGCCCCCTGGCGGCGCCCATATGCTTCCAGTTATCACCATCGACGAGTTCACCGAGACCAATGCGCTCAAAGAAGTCCGGCTGCCAGCCCTTGTCGGGAACGTAAGAACACTTGCACGTAACCGAACAAAAGGAGCGTGTGTTATCTCCAGTTGCCTTGTATGTGAAAAAATCGGGAAGATCAAAAAATTGGCATCGGGCGAACAGAGCAGGGTCCATGCGCTTCTTGAGCCAAAGAATCTTAGGCACCTCCATCTCAAGCTGTTCCAAAATTAGAATTAGCAAGGTAAACCGGACTCGCAGTCGCTACATACACTCATGGTTCCGCCTACATAATTCAAGACGATCGACCCAGTGGAGTTGATAAGTTCAGTTTCCTTCTCGGCGCGATGGTCTGCCCAAAGAATGACGTTCCGATCGCCATGAATGCCAATACTGCTACCCTTGGTTACTGTTATCGGATTCCCATCGAAGTCCGACACGGCAAGAGAGCAGGTGGCATCGAAGCCAAGCCCCTTAACCGCGGTCGCGGGAATGTTAGATTGCTTTAATATTTCCTTTACCGCGGTACAAATCTGCTCCCAGATATCGTTCGTGGATTGCTCGAAGATACGGTAATCGTGCTTATCACGCCAGGTGATGGTATCCTTCGTGGAAGATGCTATTATCTCACCGTTTCGTGCAACGAGAGACGCGCGAGCAGAGCCGGTACCGATATCAATGCCAATGAAGTAGGGAGTGTCGCAACTCATTGCAACAGGCAAGACCATGGCAGGAATGGTGGTGGTCAATGAGTGAAACGAGCAAGCACATGGTTTAAATCAAGTTGGAATACCCATCAGTGACTGTCAGGAAGTACGACATTGGACCCTGGGTTGTCAGAGTTGAACCTAAGTTGACTGCACTTAGTCGACCTAGACGGTTCGGCGCGCTATTATGATATTGATATGATGCCATACCGTGCCCACGGGTCTTTTTTGCCACAGCAGGTTAGCCAAGGACGCGTCATTTGGTTAATCGAGACCAGACGAGAGTCGAGACCTATGATTAATCAAGGTTTATACAAAAGTAATTGGACGGACCTGTCCTAGATAGCAGACCTTCCCGTATCTTTGTCTTGGCCCTTTGCCTGCCGCCCTGTGCAGATCGGCATGACGAATGTGCCGCAGGCAATCTTCATTGACACCTCCTTTATGGGCGGAGATGACGGTCATGATCATTGATGTCTAGTAGTGAGACGGAGCCGAATTGATTCTCTGCCTTTGTTCACTCGAGTTTCTCGTCTCGCCAGGTACGCTGTCATTGTCTGCCTTATTGATTGAGTTTATCGTCTCGCTAGTATGGCAGAAATATGCGCACCTGCCCCTCCTGGCCGGTGTTGTATTCAGTGCTTGGCGTTGTGCGATACTTGATGTGTTTGGAGCCATTTGTCTCCCGGGTCCTGGCTATGTATATCCTCGTTATCTGCGTCCCCGTAAGGACGATTAGAAATAAATTATCTTTGATCTTATCTCCACCCTTGACTCGTAGTTTATTATGTAATCACACAACCTTCTTGATCACTGTCATCATGTCTTCAACAACGCGTCCAATCGTTTTCATGGATATCAATATTGGAGAGACACCAGCGGGTAGAATAAAAATGGAGCTCTTCAGTGACGTTGTCCCAAAGTTTGCGGCTGCTACCTGCTGCTGTGTGCTGTTCTGATCAAGTTTGCAGAACTGCTGAGAACTTCAGGCAGCTGTGCACTGGTGAATGCAGGTGCGCCCAGGCCATGAAGATAAATAATGATTTATAAACCCCTCGAGATTAGACGTGATGCGCGACCCCAGGGTTACAAAAATGCGACTTTCCATAGGTAATCATCATCGCGACCTCGAGCGATCGACCTTCGTTGATGGATTCTGGGCAGAGTGTATGATAGCATCTTCTTGATGTCCATGATGATTAACGTGTGCGCCTTAGCGTACCGAATTTCATGTGCCAGGGTGAGCATATTGTGACAATATCTTTTCGGCCAGCCCAATCCCATGCTTGCTTGTAGGTGGAGACTTTTTGAACGGTGACGGAACAGGATCGTTCTCGATATACGGAAAGAATTTCCCTGTAGGTGTACTTACGCTCTTCATGGCGGGCGTACAAGTCAACTTTACGCTTTAGGATGAGAATTTCCAAGAGAAACACACTGGACCTGGCTTACTTTCTATGGTTTGCTATGCTTTCTCCGTCCGCAAACATTTATCTGATAATGATTTGTAGGCAAATTCAGGCCCAAATACAAACGGATGCCAGGTATTGCTCTCTACGAATCTGCATTTCTACCTCAGACTTAATCCCCGCAGTTTTTCATAACCACGGCAAAATGTGATTTCTTGGACGGAAAGCACGTGGTATTTGGCAAGGTCATCGACGGCATGTTGACGCTTCGTAAAATCGAGAATGTCCCTACGGGACAGAACAACAGACCAAAGTTGGTCGTGAAGATCGTTGGTATGTAGTCGATTTAACGGCTTCGGAAGGGTGTCTTATGTGTATATCGCAGAGTGTGGGGAAATGTAACCGCCTGTTCAAAGAAGCATCAACAGGAGAATGAATACGACTGATAACCTATTCGAGTCGGGAGGCTTTCGAGTTCACTGGATCCATACATTGAGGACTCTTGTCACATCGACGGACGTAAGCTTAGCGTAGATGACACTCATTGCATGTACCCTTTTTATAATTCATTCTTTTACCGAGTGAATAGCGAGAATGCAAGATGCCTAGAGCTTTGGTCCATTCAGTGCCAGTCAGAAAGCATAGATTTTGGTTGTGGTGCAAGATACATGGGCTCATGAGTGGCCATAATGAATAAAGACTAGTAATCTAGTCCGATGCGGTTGTCAGCCGAGCTAAATCGAAGGTTGATCAACCTCAGCTATAATATAAAATATTGAGAAGAACGCACTGTAAATGAGTTGACCAGAGTGGTGCACAATGCGCTTGATCAAGCCCTCCTTCTCCAGATGTCTGATGGCAACGCGTGCCAAACTTCCATTGACCTTCAACCGCTCAATGAGAATACTCTGGCTGATGAGACGCCAGGTGGGAGCTTCCTTCATGATACGGTCGAATGTAGCTTTGTCACAGACGACGGCGTGCTGGGCCTTGTCCTTGACCTTTCCCTTCGACCACTTCTTCTTCTTAGCAGCCTTTCCGCCGGATGATGATGGTGGTGGAGCTTTTGCCTTGGCCTAAATCAAAGGTAGTCAGCACCACATCTACATGCTTAATATGACATCCAAGGGCTGCAATACTCTGAACATCCTGCAGTTCAAAGAATCGGCATGTTTCATGCTCTCTGCCCTGGAAATCATCATCAAGGGAGGATACTCACCATAATGTCGCGGCCTCTTCGTCGATGTCGATGAACTGCACTTGGTCTGGCTTAACCGCCAATCTCTCGGCGAAATCCGGCTATTGAGGCGCCGCATCAAACTCACTGACGTAACTGTGGCACCGATCACGTTGAGTTGAGTGGGAGAGAGTAAACGAGTATCCCACTGACATTTGGGTCGACAATGCATCCCTGGCTACTTCTCGCCCTCGCCCTTCCATCATTGGCACTCGACAAGACCCATGGCGTTCCCCCTTCTCTCGTGTCGAAATACGTACCCAGCACGAGGGGTTCGCACCAGACATGGACGTGTTTAGATGGTTCGAAGGAAATTACCTGGAGTGCGGTAAATGATGATTATTGTGATTGTCGGGATGGCAGCGACGAGCCAGGTGCGAATCCGGGTGGTTCTGGTGAGGTAAACTAAGTTGTATTGACGTAGTTCTATATTCTGTAAGGCACGAGTGCCTGTCCCAATAACAAGTTCTACTGCCGCAATGAGGGCCATATTGGGGCAATTATACAAAGCTCTCGTGTTAACGATGGACTTTGCGGTAAGTCTGCAGACGTGATATAGTGAGTTCGTGATACTCATTTGAACATAGAGCAGGAATGCTGCGATGGATCGGACGAGCCCTCAGGCGTGTGTCCAAACACTTGCCAGGAAGTCGGAGAGTAGAATACAGAAAGAAGACAGAAGCAGAGCGTAAGCTGCGAAAGACTGGATCCAAGATACGATCTTCATACATTGCGTATGCACATAAGGAGCAAAAGCGCTTGGAGGCACTCGTTGCTGATCTTGCCAAAGAGATTGAAACGAGAGAGAAAGAGGTGGAGAGATTACGAGGTATGTTAGTTCAAGAGTCGGGAGCTTTCGTGTTAACACAGCCTTTTTCAGACATTGCAGAACGCGCAGAATCCCTCTCAGCTGCTGAGCTGGAGCGTAAGAAACAGTCTCGTATGTGTGTCCTAACATACTCTGCAATCTTGACTCACAAGCATGTTGCAGCCCTCTACCAGTCACTCCTCGTACATCATACCGCACTCAAGTCCCTTCAGAAAGAACACAAGAAGCACCTAGAACGCGAGAAAGCTCTTGGTGACATCTTGACCTCACTCCGCGCGGATTATAACCCTAACTATCAAGATATGGCCGTCCTGGAGGCTGTGCGTGGCTGGGAGGCACTAGCAGGATTGCCTCACATAAACGACGTACGCAAGGGTGACGATGGGGAAGCTGACACTACGGCGGACAAACCGAAAACAGAGGACGATGTTGAAGATGAAGGTCTTTGGAATGCAGCAAAGATCGAGAAGGAGTTGGATCAGTTATTGAAAACAGATCATGTGACGCTGCTGCTAGAACATGACCAGCTTGTCGGGCCTGCTTCAGCCCAGTCCCTCTGTAAGTTAAAAGCAATTGTTGGCACCACAAGAAACTGACCAGTTTTAAGTGCTTGACATTTCGGCCTACCTTCCAGACGCTCTACTCCCATCCTATCATAGTTTCCGCGACTCGCTCCTCTCGGCTCTATCAGTTTTCGGAATCGGGCGCGGAGGCACATTCGACTCGTCTGCTGGTAACTATATCTTATGTGACTGAATGTATGTGCTCATCCCGCCTTAGAATCAAATCGTGCACGTGTAGCCCTTTCGGACGCGGAACACAGCCTCAAGCTGACCCAAGATGAGCAACGAACTGCAAATGAAGACCTCCTGGATCTCTTTGATCCTGAGGGCTTTGGCCCAGAAGGCGAGTGGAAAAAACTTGACGGCATGTGCCTGTCAAAGGATACCGGAGAGTAGGTGTTGTTGCCTCGAACTACTCGGAAGTATACCAACGTTTCGCAGGTACACTTACGAGGTTTGCCTATTTGACGAGGCGAAGCAAATTCCCAATAGCGGTGGTTCTGGCTTCAGTCTGGGGTATGTTCTTTAGGAATAAGTGCTATGAATGTACTTATCTATGTGTCTTCCAGGAAATTTTCGTCCTGGAACAAAGCTGCTGGACCTGGTGAGCTAGAATATTATACCCGACAGCACTACACCCAGGGAGCCAAATGCTGGAACGGCCCCCATCGCAGCGTTGAGGTAAATATTGCATATTCTCTGTTCGCCCCCACAACATTGATATCTGTTCTTATAAGCTCGTTTTCACATGCGGCACTGAAAACACGTTACTGACGGTGGTAGAACTGGAGAAGTGCGAGTACCAAATTACAGGAACAACCCCAGCACTATGTCGCCCACTGGAGGACGAGCACACCAAAGACGAACTGTAGACTTTTTGGCATTAAGTCTAGGTACAGTACCTCTGCATGCATGCAAGTATTTATTACGTGGTCAGGTGAACCTGAAGTTCTACTTCCACCCCCTCGGGGCACGAGTGCTAATCAGGAAACCTACTCCAAATTCGTAAAAATGGCAAGGAATCAGTTCGATGAAAATAACAATGCAATCTGGCTACAATATCTCCACTGTCCTGACGCAGTCTGTCATGTTGCAAATAGAAGCCATGTCTTTAAGCTGTGCAATAATATCGTGATCCGATGCGATTCTCGTGTATTCCCCTCCGCGTTGCTGTGCTAGTAAAATTGCACGAAAAGGTTGTCCAAGGCGAACGATCAATCCCAACGCTGGTAAATGAGGCACGGAAGTTATCGGGCCCCTCTTGCCAGAAAGCCCGTGAAAAGGCTGTCGGAGGCGATCAATCAATCGCAGCGCTCGCGAGTTCGAGTCGGCCAGTACATTCTCCACAGGGGATTCGTGTACCGATATGTGTGCCATGCTCTGGGTATTGCCTGCAAAGTCAGGCAGGTCAAGGAGGTGACGATCCCACGGACGGACAAGGAAGAATGTCTGCCCAGTGGGAATGGCCCGCAAGAACGGAATGAGCTTGTCTTCTGTAGTGATCAACAGGTCGTGAAGCCCATCTGCCTTGACTGCATAGGTAAGGTATGTCTCCCGGTCTTGATCAGGCATCCGTCTCACAGCAGTGACACGGAATGCGATGCAAGGCAGTTGTAATCTGCAGTTCGCAAAACGAGGAATACTAATGATGTTAAGCAGGGTATAAAGCTTGAAAGCTGACTTCACAGTCACGGCATTTCGGAGTGAGGAGATTGATATCTGAATCTCGTCTTCGCAAAGAGATGGCAGCATGCATGGCGGAGCCTGGTATGCAGTGATGTCGGCTGGCAGACAGCTATTGAACTCGGATGATTTTCCGACCCAGTCCAGGGCGCTTATGTCACCCGACCGAGCCACGACCTCCTGCAGGAGCCGCCCGAGTGCATTTTGCTTCTTCTCGCCATAAATGGGGGGTAAGTGGACGCCGAAGATGCCGAACAATGAGTATGCAATATCTTCCTGCAATGTGGTGATGCGCCTTGATGCCCATTGGAGTTTCTCTCGGGCATTTTTCATCCCGGGACGGAAGGCGACGAGCGCCCCTGAATTTATCCCCGTCGCATCCGCCAACTCCTGCATGATCACAATGGACTCTTTGTGATTAAAAGATCGGTCGTCAAGATATAGGTTCCAGTCCTTTTGGTAGAAGAGAATGACTTTGGGAGCCAGGAATTCTTGAACCGTCCATCCTCGTGTGATCCAAGCACTCCTAGCCAGTGCGCCAGACTTTGATGAAGGCGGGACATCCGACAGGTAAACGATCGTGAGGGCTGAGTGGCGATACCAGACAAACATAGAGTTAACCGATTCCTGAACCTCAACGTTGCTACTCTTGTCGATGCAGCATGTATCGCTCCACGCCCATTGGTAACCCGCATTACGAGCAACTTTGCAGAATGACTGCAATTTCACAACGCCGCCCAAAGGATTCAACTCGTATACGCTCTGGTCCTGGATGTCGTGCAGCAAGGGCTCCTTGCGTTCCCACCTATGTGACAGCATGACACAACGGAAGCAAGTCATTACCACTTCTTGGATGAGCTCCAATTGGAGGTCTACATGCATTATCGTTGATGACAAAAGCTTCTTGTACACGGTGCTCGTTTTGAAGGCATTTATCTGTGCCTCTCGATCGCACAGGCGCCCAGTGGTGGTATTAATCAGACGCGGCGGTGCGTTTTCCATTTGAGTGTCAATGACCTTTGGATAGCACCTTCTACTCCTGATGGAGACATATACTGCTCGTGCAGTTCTGGGGAAGAGTTGAGCACATTCCGTATGCATTATTCCGGACTTACTTTGTGCTTGTGCGTCGAGAGCATTGTCCGAGCTGGAGAGTACGGTTCGGAAGGCGATGGCTTCATCATAGCGTTGTGCGCCATGAAGTGCTACATGCTTCAACTTGTATCCGAGGTAGGACGAAGGTTTGAGTTCGATGACCTATGTGTCATGAACATGAGCATTGGCTGGCAAAAACATATTCTATTGCACCTTCTGCGCATCAAAAAGCGCATCCTCCCATAACATTTTCTCGGAATTCGCCCTACATCGATTTGCAAAAATGATATCGGTTCCAGAATCCAGGTCGATCGCCGCAGAGTATAGCTCGATAGCCCTGTCGTAATCGCTCGCAGCCAGGGCGGCATCCCCGCTCGCAGAGAGGTCAGTAAATCCGTTTGCAGCATAGAGCGTTCTGCAATTTTCCTTGAAAGCTGAGTGAAGTATGGGTGAGGAATATAGCCTGCTGACAACTGAAGACCTACCAGTGGACCACTCAAGGCAGCTGGTTTTCATGACTTCATCAAGCATATCCATCATATATCGGTACGACTTGTGAGCTTCTCCAATCCTACCCGCGAGAAGGAGTGCATGGCACCGTTTTTGGTTGGCAGTTTGCCAAACGGACTTGAGGTCCCACCCAAAGAGCTGCACAGTTGGGCATGAAAGGCATTTTCGGCTGCATGAATCAACGTACCACGACAAACTCCTCATATTTGGAATGGTGAGCCGATCCAGGTG